TCTCTCTGTTATCAGCATGTTACCACTTCGGTTTTCACTTTGGGTGTTGATTTAAGTGTTAACACCATGAAGACTTCTCTCTGTTATCAGCATGTTACCACTTCGGTTTTCACTTTGGGTGTTGATTTAAGTGTTAACACCATGAAGACTTCTCTCTGTTATCAGCATGTTACCACTTGGGTTTTCACCCTGGATGTTTATCATAGTGTTAACACCGTAAAGACTTCTCTCTGTTATCAGCATGTTACCACTTCAGTTTTCACTCTGGGTGTTGATTTAAGCACACTATGATAAACATCCAGAGTGAAAACCGAAGTGGTAACATACTGATAACAGAGAGAAGTCTTTACAGTGTTAACACTATGATAAACATCCAGGGTGAAAACCCTAGTGGTAACATGCTGATAACAGAGAGAAGTCTTTGACGGTGTTAACACTTAAATCAACATCCAGGGTGAAAACCCTAGTGGTAACATGCTGATAACAGAGAGAAGTCTTTACGGTGTTAACACTTAAATCAACATGCAGAGTGAAAACCCTAGTGGTAACATGCTGATAACAGAGAGAAGTCTTCATGGTGTTAACACTTAAATCAACACCCAGAGTGAAAACCGAAGTAGTAACATGCTGATAACAGAGAGAAGTCTTCACGGTGTTAACACTTAAATCAACACCCAGAGTGAAAACCCTAGTGGTAACATGCTGATAACAGAGAGAAGTCTTCATGGTGTTAATTAACACCGTAAAGACTTCTCTCTGTTATCAGCATGTTACCACTAGGGTTTTCACTCTGGATGTTTATCATAGTGTTAACACCATAAAGACTTCTCTCTGTTATCAGCATGTTACCACTAGGGTTTTCACCCTGGATGTTTATCATAGTGTTAACACCATGAAGACTTCTCTCTGTTATCAGCATGTTACCACTATAGTTTTCACTCTGGGTGTAGATTTAAACAGTAACGCCATAAAGACTTCTCTCTGTTATCAGCATGTTACCACTAGGATTTTCACTCTGGGTGTTTATCATAGTGAGTAAACATTATAGAACAAATACCTTCCTTTTTGTTTTTGCATGTGGGGTAGGGTGAGGGGGGAGTTGTTCAATGACTGTTACAACTAATGGTGTACCTCGCAATGACTGCATGACTTACCCTTTGAGGTAGTTTATCATACATTTTCTTTGTATGGATAGGCTCTTCTTAGCCTTTGTTTTGGTATGTTTTAATATCACAGATTCATAGTCTGTAATATGTATTTCCAGGAAGGCATTTTTTCTATTTACTGTTTTCATGAACAACTGATGTTTTCAGTATTTACTAATCTGACAAAGAATAACACAGATCACTTCTCAGTTATTCCTCGATGATATAACTCAGTCTTATTAGATATGAAAATAGATAAATTTTCTTTTAATTTGTGTAATTCTAAAAATGTCACTGTCATCACTTTGTGGTGCTTTCTTTGTAAGTAAACTTTTTGATTTGTTACAGATCTGGGACATCGGAGGGCAGCCTAGATTTCGTAGTATGTGGGAGAGATACTGTCGTGGTGTGAATGCTATCATGTAAGCTAAAATTTCTTGGTGTTGTTGTTTTGAAAACTAAATTTTCAATCAGTAGTCTTCTGTTGATAAGTTAAGCAGTGGATATTGTATGCTACTAGTATATGTTATATACTGAACTTAAAAAATGTTGTAGTTAATCATTACATGTTAACATTTTATATAGGAGTTACAATCAACTTCATACATCTGTTTAGCTGTTACACACCCACCGTACTGGAAATGTGTAGCAGGTAATGTTACAATATAGCTCACAAGACTCATTGTTTACAAATAAACTAAAAAAAATGTGTTTAAAACTATTCACAAAGACAAATAATATGACAACATGTGCAAGTCTGTGAAGTTTTTTTAATGATGATTTTTGTAACATAATAGTGACTGCTGTGGCATTCAGTGATGATCTCTAGTATGCAGTCATGTTGGTTGAGGTACATGAAAACTGTATGTTATACGTGTAATACTTAAATTGTAGTAAATGGTGTGATGAGGTCAGCCTGAAATTTATCCCGAACTATTACGTAGCTGACTTATGGCTTATATTTTTGTCACTTTAGTGTATGTTTATTGTATGGGATCAGAAAATATTGTCATCATTTTTGCTTAATATGAAAAAAAGTAATACCAAAATGTCCATGATTTTACACGATTCTTAATTATTTTACTTCAATCGTAAAGCCAAGTTGATGTAAAAAAGACAGTTTATATGACGTACGGCTTAAACAGCAACTTCAATGATAGTCTTTTTGTATGTTGCTTTGTTGGCATCCAATTTTAACTATAGTCTTGTAAAAGGAACTTTGAATAATAGAAATCGAGAATATGTAAACACACACATTCAGTAACCAGTTAGGCATTTTAGAGACTATGTTATATTTAAAAACAATTCAATGCATGTTTCGTTAAAATATTGTCTATTATAACATCTTACTTTCATCAACATAAAAAATGTTTTAAATAAAATTAATCAAATGAAACATCGGTTATTTATTTGTAAAGTTTAAAAAATGTAAGTTTAAAACTCTACATGTTTCGGTGGAAATAATTCCAACATCTTCAGGAGAATAAATCACGAAGTACGCGTGAAGTTTCTTATAAACCTCTGTTTGTGTGTAATTAACATGTTTTTAGAATGGCACCTTTTACAATAACGATTTCGAAAAGTTTACTTCCGTGGCTCCTGGGCCTAAATCTCTATTTATATTCATTTTGTTTTTAACAATTTCTAAGGATTCTCTTATGTTTAGTTCATCTTTTTCCATTATATGTTTAAGTATTTTTACGTTATCCCAGTCAATAAAGTGTAGAATTTGCCACGTGTTCCGCCAAAGCCGACTCACCCCTTTTTAGTTTATTTTATTCTAAATTTTAGGTTCCTACTTGTCTGTCCAATATAACTTGGACCACAAGTACATGAAATTTTATATATCTACCATATTTATCCCTTAATTCAATTTTATCTTTCAAACCATTAATTATATGACTTCATTTTAATTGATGAATAAATGTTACTTGGCAATTCGTATTTTGTTTAAACACATTACCGATTTTTATTGACATGAGGCAAACATATTCTTTCTATACCTCCATTTTTGTTATATGCAATTTAGTACATCCAGAAATTTAATTTTTAATTTTTTTTAAATTTATGAGAGAAAGTTTATGTTTCTTGTAGTTACATGGTTGATGCAGCAGAGTTTATTAAAGTTCAAGTCCATGTTTCTTGTAGTTACATGGTTGATGCAGCAGAGTTTATTAAAGTTCAAGTTTATGTTTCTTGTAGTTACATGGTTGATACAGCAGAGTTTATTAAAGTTCAAGTTTATGTTTCTTGTAGTTACATGGTTGATACAGCAGAGTTTATTAAAGTTCAAGTTTATGTTTCTTGTAGTTACATGGTTGATACAGCAGAGTTTATTAAAGTTCAAGTTTATGTTTCTTGTAGTTACATGGTTGATGCAGCAGATCATGAGAAGATAGAGGCATCCAGAAATGAACTCCACAATTTGCTGGACAAGCCACAGCTAGCTGGTATTCCTGTTCTGGTTCTTGGGAACAAGAGAGATCTGCCTAGTGCCTTGGATGAAAAAGAGCTTATAGAACAGATGTAAGTACCGTGTTGAGCTTATAGAACAGATGTAAGTACCGTGTTGAGCTTATAGAACAGATGTAAGTACCGTGTTGAGCTTATAGAACAGATGTAAGTACCGTGTTGTTTGTTGTCAACGAGAAAAACTAAATGCTATGTTGTTTATAGATAGATATGTAATACTTGGAACACTGATTTGTTTTAGAGTATTCCAGGTCTCGGATCAGTAATTACCCAACTTGTAATTTATCAAATTCTCAGTGGTGATAGGTATATCAAGATACTTCGTGTGATATGTACTGAATTGTCCCGTATATGTTCTTTTCCATGGGTTGAGGCTCTGCATATTTCTCCACAAATATTTTTTGGACATGAATAATAATCTTATTCTCATAACAAAAATCATAGTATATTTCATTCTGTGGATAAACTTTACCTCATTTTTTTTGTTTTTAACTATTATTAATTTCCCGAAGATGACTAGTTGACTTAAAACCTTGTCACTTTTCGAGTTTGTTTTTTAATTTGGTATAAGAAAAGGGATTGTGATTTTTACTTATATTAAAGTAACATTGCTTTTACTTTATTATTTTGCCTTTTTTTTAATAATTTGAACTTAGGTGATGGAAGTTCGGATGGGAAATTTTTATCTTATATTGTGTTACATACGTTTAATGTTGATTTATTTGTGATATAGGTTATTAGATAGGAGGTTTTATCATATCTTTGCAACTAAACCGTTATTCCTCTCTAACCCTGTGGTACCCAGTTGGGTCCACCTTAAACCAAGGGCAAAATTCCACCCTTGAATTAAAAATAGAAAATAAATGTTGTCGTTCTTCCTCACATTTTATTTAAGTCCTTCAGATCGGAAACATTTTTAGGATTATATTTACATTTTAGTATTGGTCCTAAGGCATTTAACATAAATTTAGTTAAAATCCCGTGTTTACAAGAAATAAAGATTGTATTAAAAACTTTGAAGCAAAGAGTTTCATAGTAATCCCATTGATAGTAATATGAATGAAATGTTAAATTTGTAAACCACCCCTAAAGCCTTGAAGTTTGATGTACCAAAAAAATATGCAGTAGTAATAGCGTTAGAATATTTAGGACATTTGCACTATATAAAAAGAATAGAATTGAGCTTTAGACTTGAGTAAACTTTATTCACAGATTGTTTTCCTACTTGTAATAGTTTGTTAGGTTTAACTCACTACATAAACTCTTCAATGGTGTATAATATTAAAGTTACATCATAGTTTCTGTTAGGCTTAACTCAGTACATAAACTCTTCAATGGTGTATAATATTCAAGTTACGTCATAGTTTCTGTTAGGCTTAACTCACTACATAAACTCTTCAATGGTATATAATATTCAAGTTAGTCATTGTTTCTGTTAGGCTTAACTCACCACATAAACTCTTCAATGGTATATCACATTCAAGGTACGTCATAGTTTCTGTTAGGCTTAACCCACTACATAAACTCTTCAATGGTATATCACATTGAAGTTACGTCATAGTTTCTGTTAGGCTTAACTCACTACATAAACTCTCCAATGGTATATTACATTCAAGTTACATCATAGTTTGTTAGGCTTAACTCACTACATAAACTCTTCAATGGTATATACCATTCAAGTTACATCACGATAAATTCTGAACTTTCCGAGGAATGTGTTCTTTGTTATTCATTGAGAGCCTACATATCCCCCCCATAAGTGAAAGATAAGTCTATAGATAATACATAACCTTGTTTTTAGGTATTACATCGTTGATATGAACATATTTTATTCTAACGATAGGCTTAAAAATACATTTAATTTAGTGATTGTTAATCAGAAGCCTGGAATTAATCAATATAATTCTACAGTACCACTCCTCTTAACAGCATAACTTCTAAAGAAAATATTTATTTTAACACATTTCAGTTTGTTTAAGACTGAATTATTCTTTGAAACTTCTCTTCTAATTAGGAAACTGCACACTGGTAAATAATAATTTGAAATTATCTCTGAAGTGTAAGCAGAAAAACAGATATTTTATACATGGTTATAAAGATATTGTGTGCAGCACAAGTGTACCAATTTATTGACCTTACAGGTTCTAATGTAAAATTTACATGATGAGAGCTGTACTTGGGGGCTTCATATTTATCATTTTATCTTGTTGATAGTAATTTATTTTCAATTAAAATTCAAATATTCTTATATTATTCTAATAATTTGAACTGATTACATTATTAACACGAGCACACAAAGGAAAATCTTTGTTAAACAGGAGTCAGCATCAAGATATAACAGTAGATATAATTACGATATTGACACTAACACTTGGTAACTCCTGTTCATTATCTTTAGTGTAAAACTCTTAAATGGGAATCAGTGTTATCTAGATAGAATATGTAGATATGATTGTGTTGTTAACAGGGTTCAGTTTTATCAAGATTATAAACACTAACACATAGTAATTCCTGTTCATTACCTTAATGGAAATTTTGTTGTTGTGTTTTTAAATAGTGGTTAATGTTGGAAGAACCTTTAGATGTGATTACAGTATCTTGTATCGAGGTAATATTGGAATCAGTTGAATTGTATTTCTATAAATGTGTTTTTGCTTTTCACTTGTTGACCAACTCATCAGCATTGTTTTTTTTTTATTCTGTAGGAATCTTTCCTCTATACAGGACAGAGAGATTTGTTGCTATTCTGTTTCTTGTAAAGAGAAAGATAATATTGGTGAGTAATGCTGTTGGCATTAAAGAATTGTTGGTTAAGTGTATTTATGGATTAAATAAACTATAAAGTACATTTGTTTATTTACATTAAAAAAATCCAATATTGTTTATGTATGTTGTGAGATGATGATGATAGGGTGTATGTTGGTTTTAGGCAAAGGTATGTCAGTGAGGTTTACTGTCTGTAATGCTTAGACGAATGTAGTAATTCATGTTCCTGCTCTTCTAATATTTGAATATACTTTGATGCCTAGATATGAATACAGTAGCGTTATTTGAATGGCACCAGGAAGGATGCGTTTGAGGAGCAGGGCTCGATTTTAAAGGTTCTCCAAGACGACTAAAAACTTTCTCGGACAACCAACTTAATCCACGGGTTGTCCAACAGATGACTAGTACCCCAAAATAGCATCACAGTCTACTGTACACTTATCCATGCCCTCACTACATAATGTTGCCTCCAATCCTCGTCAAAAATCGCCTGTAAATTCCCTAACTACAAACTCCAAAATTTCAACCCCACTAAAAATATCTTTTTTGTCCATTTTTTTGTTTAAAAAATATTGTATTTTGTACAAGAGGAATGTTATTACAATCAACCAAAAGGTGCTGAAAACATTAGGAAAAGTTCAGTTTTGTGATTGGCTAATAATGCTGTTTTAATCACTAAACTTTTTATTGTGGACAAACTCCACATAACTTTTGTAAGGAGTTCAAATGAGTTAGCTATAATACCACTTTATATATATATTCAGGAAGTAAACTCAAGATGAAAATATTACCACACATTGTATTGTGCAATGTTTGTATGCATATACATGGGCGGGCAGGAATTCACAACGATCACGAATGCCGATAACACGAATATTTAGTGAGACTAATTTCTAGTATAGATGCTTACGACAATAAAACTAACATGGCTGTCTCAGCTTCTTACCGATAAACCTTCAGTAGGAACTGAAATGATCAAATTTACAAAATCAAACTCAGAATTGTCATTGTTAATCATCACAGTTGAAACACTGACTCCTCCCCTTTTGCTTATGTACATATAGGCCTAAGGCTAAAGTTAGACATATGTGACCAATAGAGTCTAGGAAATATAGAAGACCTAGTTCCATATCAGCAGTATCGGGCCTTGTGTACGTATTACAGTATAGTAGTATGTGTGAGAATTCTGAATCAAGTCTAGTCTTACTACAGGCTGTACGTTACTATACTTGGCAGGCTGGTTAGAATGAAAACACTGAATGTGATTGGTGAAGATAGCTGTTCTGTTTAAAAGTTTTACAGATCATTGACTGTTTGTTTCCGTGAGATACTATGTAACATTAGCATGGTTTGGGCTTTTTTTTTTCCAATGTAACGAAACTTCCCGTGAAATAAGGTGTCATAAATTAGATGAATGATGATGCAAAATTACCAACTAAACATTAATTGTTCTTTTTGGACATGAATAAGATGTAAAAATAATTGGGTCTTATTTTCCAGACATAACCCTTCAGTGGTTGATCTCGCATTCCAAGTCCAAAAGTCACTGAGAGCTGAAGCTTCTGACTAGATCTTCTGGGGTGAGTGCTCTCAGGATTAAGCTAGGAACAAGTTCTTGCCACCAGAGGTCACTCAAGGATAGGAATGTCATACAAAAGTGTCTGAATTGGTAGTTTTTAGACTGAAGGTTGAATTTTCAGCTTTAATATACTTTTATGTTAAATTGTGAATTAAACTCTTGTATGTTGGATTAAAAGTGCAAATTGTAGCATGAATTTTTATGTACTTACAAGTAACATATTACTATCCAAGGTATTTTATTGCTTCATGAAAAATATATCTCGTACCACTTGGCTAAACACTGCAACAGCTTAGGCGAAAACCAATATTTCATTTTTAAGTCAAATGAACAAGAGTGAGAATACAGTCATTGTATGCATTTGAGTAAAGGGGGAGAAGTTTTGAAATTATTTGTGTATATATATATAAATGTTGATGTAGGTATACTGGTTATATTTGCATTCTTTGTTTTGTGTAATAGTATCTACTATCATGGAATGTAAGTTCATGGTTGATCAAGTATTACTGTTTATATAGTTGCCTACTACTCTGTGACATGAAACTGTCTTTTTGGCTAGAAATTTTCTCTAATTGGTATTTTCTAATGGGGTAGTGTTTCAGATTTCTCTTTAAGTTAAGTGAAATGCTACACTTTATTTACACCTGTGACAAATAATGTTGACATAGTTTGCCAAACTAACTTATTTAAATGTGACTAATCATTGTAACTATCTTTGGCACACAGTCAGTTGCAGCTACGTAATGCGACTACATTTAGTAATTTGTTTATGTGACTTGCGTTATTGAAGTATTGTTGGTTAAACCTACAGGATGTAACTGATACTTAGTGACTTGCAGTGTGGATTTGTAATTAGTTGAAGCTTCATGATTTTTCTGCTAAAAAATGATAAGGCTTTTAATAAGAGTTCTGAAATTTAAAACATTAAATTTACGTACGCACTGTCTTGTTAATGTGCTTAATTTTCTGGATTTAATTTTTAAATGTATTCCTGAATTTTTAAATAACTTTTTTTTAATATTTCCATTTCTTTAATCTTCATTTTGATGGCAAAAAGTGCTCGAAGTAAGTGAATTTGAGTGAAAACTTTACAACTCTATGCTTTCAGTTCTCATTACTTGTCACTGTGCGTATATGTTCGTATTTCTTTTTGTGTGTATAACTTTGTGATGATGTATTTAATTTTTTTTCCATTAAATTCTTCATTCTATGATTTTGCTGTGTGTAGAAAACACTTGAGAATAAAACTCTTAAAATAATATGCAGTTTAAAGTTTATAATTTGATGGTAATGACTCTCATTTTCAGCCTTAATAGTGAAACATACCAATTCATCGTTAGGCTTAGTTGAAGTAGATTAATATATGGACTTCTTTATCGGAAGTGTTTCCGCATTTGAATTATATCTTATTACTTTAGTATTGGCTCTTTACTGGTGTTCCACATGCTTGAACATATAGTTGGACAGAAGACTTTGTGTCCATTGCTGTAGTTGCGTGTTCTTTAGTGATTATTCTTAATATTCGAACTACTGAACCAATATGTCCTCATTCACGTCAAGGACAATTATACATATAGATAACATGAGACTGTTGTCGATAAGAAATTCCTTCCCTAATTCTTAAAAGCTAAATTTTTAGGTGTTGTTTGAAAATTATTTTTATATCAGCCCATAAATACTTTTTTAACCCGATGACTACCAGTACTAACTTTCTTAGTAGGCAATGCAAGTGTGCATTTGTGAATTGAAAAAATGATAGAGAACTTATCTTTTAATGGATTTCTGTATTTTATTTTTATAAATAGTAGCATAACATTCAATTATTTGTACAAAATTGCATTATTTAATGAAGTTTAAAGAGAAACTTAATGAAAAAATTCCTAAAATATGTTTTAGACTGTAAATAAGCGCCCTCTAAGAGGAAATGTTTTTTTCAAACAAATTTTTAGGATATTTCCTTTCACCTCAGCACTGGTCCTGCCATCTATGATTGGTATCTAAACCTTT